ATGCTTATATATATAATTCATAATATTCATAATGCAAAATATTGTTGCACTTCACTTACCTATTCTTATCAGCTCGATCTTAAATAGTGCAGGAGCGGCATGCTTGTTAGATGAACATGTTGTTAATTTGATTGTAAATGTGTGCATTATTTCTCTTTGTAAAACATCATGCACATTTTAGTGAAATGACTCGCCTACTTCTACGACCAAGAGTACCGAGAAGAGATGGAAGAGGTCAAAAATGCGGCCTTTTGAAAAAGTCTGTTAAATCCTGTTGTGAAATGACAATACTCACAAATTTAGGACACAAATTTTTTGTGCGTGTGACCTATGCAGACTTCATTGTTTGTTGTCACATTGAAACTTTCCAGGCGTTCCTTTTCTTTCTGTATGCTACCGTGCATGTACTGCTAAATTGAAACTGCAGTCAAAAAAGAAAATAATCCATATTTCACATTTCAGTAATTCACGAGCAGTAAACAGCCGTTTTTTTTTTCCTTTATGCAAATAAACAGCAGAGGTGTGCTTGAGAGACAACCGCGTCGTTTTAAGTTTTGAGGCAGCGCATTTGACTCTGAATGTAATGGAAAAATAGCTTGGGTTGATGATGAAGGCTATATTCAGTCGGATACAAGAAGCAAAGACATTAGTAATGCTAAACTGTGCTTATAATGAAACAGCTGCTCAAAAAATGCTATTTGTTAAGAAGCGTGAAGCCAGACATGGTAGAAACACGGAAGGGTCGTCTTCGTGGGTGGTCGACAGATGTTATTTGAGCTTTGGGGTTACCGTAAGAGGTCATGCGAGGCGCATCAGATCTATAGTTCGCTCAAGGTCAGAAGCCTCATTTACCGCCGATCGATTTATTTCTGGTAATTATACCAGATGCTTTTTGCCCGTCTGAATATAAGCCCTTCATCAGGCTCATTCTTTTTTTTAAAGTAAGCAGGCCATCTGTTTTCCGCTAATTAGAAGTGCACTATAGGGGCAGCATGGTCCTCCACTGGCCACCAAGGCTGTACGGTCACCAGACACTAATGTTTTCGGTCTTCTTTTTTCATATAATTATGCGTGGAGTGCATCTGTCCACTCGACTGTCGCGTCGTCCTAAATTGGTTTAGTCTAATGCAAGGTCTCATGGTCAAAAGCGCAAAAAAAGCGTCTGACACAAGTGCACCATAATTATAGCGAAATGAATGACAGTGAACCGAGTATCCGGCAAAATGCAAGGAATGCACTGAAGTTCTGAAGCACTTCGCCATCCGTTACTGTACCCGTCAGCCAAAATGACACCATTATGCGAAAGTCGCATCTCGTCCCTTTTTCCTGAGATCATTTGATTGAGCTCATGTTCGGCGTTTTATCGAGAGATTTATTCAATTTGGGATTTAACAGCACTCTGCCGATTTTGACTTCCCTTTGGATATTTTTCTTCTTTCGAATGTATTCTTCGCATTTAGCCAATTTTAGTTTTTTTTCGACTCAGGCCTTCTTCGTCCAAACCAAATCATATTTTATTTTTCTCAAGCACGCAGCATGCGTCCATGAGGGTAAAAAAAGTTATTCCTACAAAGTAATTTTCGACGTGTGTCCATTTAGCAAAAAAGGAACCATTTATTAATTTAATTGAAACTGGCGGCAGTAGAGTTAAACAGTGGCAATTACTGTCTATATGGCAAATCTGACACTTCCATATCAGAAGATTCGTCCCGGTGGTCCACTGGAAACCCAAATGAAAATGGTGCAAGAATTTTTGAAACACCACAGTCCGATGGACAGTACATTGCTGGCGTTCCTGGTTCGCCCGGTGGCCCCCAAGGTCCTTCTTCCCCGTAGAATCCAGTCTAAAAATCACTTCTTATTTTAATCCTTTACATTATCATTTTTCTAACATACAGCAAAAAAAAATTCCGCCATATTTCATTATCGAAGGATTGATTGGCGCTGTCCATTGGTCGCACTTTTTCAATACCAGCCATTGGCGATTTGTAACAGAAACGGTTGACGGAAAAACGAAAATTTTTCCGGACGGAAGCGGTTAAAAAATTTTGATGGAAGGAGGAGGTAGGCGCTTTCAGCAGTAAGCACATCCAACAAATTTTTCACTTACTGACTGGGATTTAGCAAATGTTATAACCCTTGAAAAATAGTGGTTAAACAATAGTTCTTTAACGAGTCTGTTTTTTTTTTTACAAAATTGGGCAACTAATCCGCATTTTATGGAAAAAGCTAGCACCTGCTACTTATTTGAGCCTCATTTTCATTCTGACGAAACTGATTTAAAAATGCACTGATTGATATATTTTCTCGGCACGCTTAGTGCGAGTACCAATTTTCATCACCGAATTTCGTATCCAAATCGTAAATTTTTTACTTTTTTAAGTAATGGTTATGGACGTAGAACTAATCCCACAACATCATTTTCCGGTTCTGGGGTTAAAAGGAATGCCCACCACGCATCTCTAATTAATAAACGCTCATATTTGCTCTAATCAAAAGCAGCAAGAGTTCGGTAAATTGCAGTCATGAAAAACAGCTGGATCTCGAAGTAGCTGTTCTGCATTTACCACATTTTAAACCACACTAGCCTCTAGATACCACTCAAGAGACTACCAGTTTTTCCTGCTCCCCTTTGTCGTCAAAACCTTTATCGATATCGTCGAGCTGAACACCCTGTCGCAAACTTTTGTGGAGAAAGCTAGATGGAAAAAAAAAGTTAATGAAAGAATTAAGAAATCCACGAAGGAGACAGTGGCCACTCGCGCATCTTTACTGAGATACAACTGCACACTGTACAGGTAGACGGATTCCGATTAGAGGCATGCATTTCAGGATCTAAAGGCCTAACAAAACTACACCGGGTTCGTTCACATTTTAGTAATAATGTTAGTGTTGAATTCCCATTTCCACTGTTCGGGCCAACTCGATAATTTAGAAAATGCTTACATTGCCTTGTGGTCCTCGTGGTCCAACAGGCCCTGGTGATCCTTGCTTCCCTGGAATATTGGATCTTCGACCCGGAATACCTTGCGGACCTTTAGGGCCTGCTGGCCCTGGCAAACCTTTCGGTCCTTTTACGCCAACGCCAGCTAAAACTGCTGCTTTATGACAATTATGTAAACAAAAAGTTGAAAAAAAACTTGAATAAAAATATGTCAGGTCATTAGTTCAGAAGGCTTATGTAAGTTCAAGCGATTGCATCATACGACATACTTATTTAATTCTGTGAGGTTGCTGTTAATATTGGTTGACATGATGCAACGTCGTGATTAATGAGTGTCGACGTGGTGCATGATTCTATGCAGCAGCATATTACAAAGCAACTGCTTGGTACTTCGCTGCTCTTTGCTGTTGCATAAATGCCTAGTCCTTAAGCGCTACTACGTAACCGCATGACATCTATCTACTTTTATTTAGCTACTCTGTGAGCCGTTGTTCCAGTATAGCGCAACTTCGGGCTACTAATGTATCAGCCCTACCATCATCGTAGCAGTTGGCTTGCTAATGTTTAAGAGGTATCTTTCTTTGCCTTTTTTGCTTTTGCATGGAAGAAGTGAAACTCACTTTTTATTCACCTCACTACTGTAATCTTTCATTGCTTTTTGCGCTCTTTCACATACGTGTGAACGCAATCTGTACACTGCTCAGACCTTGTCTGCATATGCATGCCTACTTGTCTGCTACTTATTTTCAAAATAAAAATCAAACCCCGGCTGGAATGTATCAGGGTTGCCAGTGCAATTATGTGTTTCTACACCAAACTTGAAGCATCAGGTTATTGCTCTACACCTACCTTTTGCGCTCACTGGCGTAAGTCATCATAAATTTCGCATAAAGAAAAAGAACAATTTCGTCTAATGGTCGTTCTTTGAAAATGACCCAACTGTTCAGTGAACAATTTTCCCGCCAAAGCTTTTAAGTGCCCCTACATGAGAACTACGCAAACCTGGAGGCTGAATTTGAAATATTTAAACTGTGGTTGGACAGGGTACATTCCCATAAAATTTAAGCTCTTTAGCTTTCCTGGTTTTCGGTTTAATAATTTACCCGCCAAAAATTTTGAGTATCTGTGCGCAAGAACCACGCTTAACTGGAAGCTAAATCTGAAATCTTTAAGTCGTGCGTGAACGGGGAACATCGTCTTGAAATTTCAGCTTTCCAGCTTTTCTGGATACCGAGTTAGCAATTATCCCGCCAAAATTTTCAATTATCTGTACGTGAGAACCGTGCACTCCTAGGGGCTAAATTTGAAAGCTTTAATTCACACAAACACAGAGAATATCCTTGCAAAGTTTCATCCCTCTATCTTTTCTGATTTCTGAGGCTGCTTTCTTGCCGAAAAATTTGCATATTCTTTAGGCGCCCGTATGCAGTACCCAGACATACGCTGGTGATGATATTAAGACTGGAGGGTCACATATGGCGTGGACGCATACTCCCGAAGTTTCAGTCTTCTTTTTCCAGTTATCGAGTTGAAAGTGGATGATGAAAAGTACAAACACACAGACACATACGCATACATCCTCTTACCCATATGCGTTTTTGCATTAGCATACATGCAAAAATGCATAACTAGAAAAAATTTGTGTTCTAATATCAGTTCTCCAACTTCATTGAACCTTGAGCATAGGGCAATGAGGAGCAAATTTTGCATGCATGCTTGAAATTTCCATTTGGAGAATATATGTATATTTGTACTTGTAGAAAGAAGTACGCAAAAAGGCACGTTCGGGTTGATGTCTTCCGCTTTGCAACGCTGCTTGCTTTTTTAGCTCTGAAAAAAAATGTCGAACGCTCTTCTTTTACCATATATTCTCACTTACAAGCGACCTCCTACTTTCTTATAAAATGGCCATTGTCATTTAGAGGAGAAGTTTAAAGAGAAATAATGACATGTTCTTCAATTTTTTTTTCACTGGAAAATGTTCGTCTAAAAAAATCATTGATTGTATAAGATCAATTTTATTTCGCAATATAGGCGAAACTCTAACTGCGGCTGAAACTAACCGATTGCATCATCACCGGGCCTCCCAGCTGGTCCGGCTGGTCCCGACTCACCACGAGGTCCTTTCGCTCCTTTATTTCCAACTGGACCATTTTCGCCTGGTTTTCCAGGTCGACCTAAAAACTTGCTATACGCATTTATTAATAGGTCTGCTGAGTCGAAATGGATGTGCTTTTTTGTGTGGTGCCATGGTTTTGCAGAGCAAAATCAAAGTCAAAAAAATTTTCCGCTGTAGGTAATGAAGAAATATAACTAAAGGAGGAAAGAGACAGGACAAAAAGAAGTGATCATTTTTTCAGTAAACTTTGGTGAGCTTGCCGACTGATTTGTAAATCCACTTTATTGTGTCAGTAGGCATTTGGTCAAAGCATTCTGTAGGAAAGCAAAATATTTGTTACCCTTTTTTACGAAAAAGGTTTATAAAAAAAAAAAAAAAACAATATGTAGCATTCACTGAGTGACTGAAATGCAAAATTTTACAGCAGTGCCAAAATTTTCGGATGGATGAAGCATGCAATTTTTGAATGAGCTCTCGAATACATCGGGAAAATTAATAAACGAAGGGCAGTTCCAGTGTTTTAAATTAACACTGCGACGATTCTGGACTTACGAGTGAAAATTTTCTCAGACTTCTCTATATTAAAAAAAGGTAAATGGTGGCACGCGCTTCTGAAAAATCAAACAGGCTGCTTGTTACTAAAATCGCAAAACATCGAATTTGTTCGTGTCCTTGCATGAAACGAAAGGAGATGATTTAAAATTTTCTGAATTTTTACATAGCTCGGGACACAGTTTTTCTAAAATATCGCTTTCCATTGGTTTGCGGAGCTTAAAAAATTAATGCGTGATTCTACTCGCGCTGTTTTGAATGTGTTTGCATGCTACGCTGGCCCTTACTTCATTTGCTGTAGGAAGAAACCCCGCAGTCTTCATCGACTAACCTCACAAAGCGGAAAAGGGGTTTAAAGCGGGCTGCTTTGGAATTGAACATTTGTAACTGGCTCCAAAAAAATTAAATTGTTGCAAAAAATCCAACCAGGATGACCAGGCGGTCCTTCTGCTCCTGGCTGACCACGTTCTCCTTGTGGACCACGTAAACCGGGTGGGCCAGCTGGACAAATTGAGCACGGAAGATCAGGCGCTGTATCGACCATGATATCTTCACCGTCGTCACCAGGTGCACCAATTTTGCCCGGTGTCCCAGGAATTCCATCGGCTCCTGGCGGACCAACAAGCCCAGGTTCACCAGTTGGACACATCAATCGCGCGCACCCTGAACTGATACACCAAATTTAAACATAATTTAAATTTGTATTAAAGAAATTGTTAGAAAAATACGTAATAAGAAGTTTTCCTTAATCTTTACTGCGAGTTTTTACTGGTTTTTATTCGCTGCCTGATGCACTCAGCAATGGAAATTGAAATGTGCTTTGATTAGACATATTTTCGTTTGGCCTATCTTTTGCCCGTGGCGGCAAATTGATACTGCAAAAATAAAGCATCATTTATGAACTACAAAAAATAAGCTATGCGCTTTGGTTGACCGAGTGACTGAACTACTGCTAAGCTTTCTTGTTAGAGCCTTGGCAACTAAATCGGAAAAAACAGTTACGATAAATTTATACTTACTGCCGCATTTTTCAACAACCTCGCGGAACGGATTGGCGTGTCGTGCACGACGTATTCCGTGTCCATCTGTCTGCCTTGCATGCATAATTTCAACCCACAACGATGATGACCTTCTCTGCAAAACAATTTTTTATTGTTGGAAAATTGATTTTTCTGCATAACAGTCTTCGTTCGCTGAAGAAGCCCATAAAGCTTAGCTAGCACGAAAAAAGACCAACTTAGAAATTACATCAGTTCTTATACGTTTTTGCATATATGCAAATTGCAAAAACGCATGTTGGGAAGAGGCTGTGGATGTGTTTGTGTGTTCGCACTTTTTGTCACCCATTTTCAACTCGAAAACCAGAAAAGCTGGAAGACTGAAATATGTAGGGATATTCCCTGTGCATGTGCGGGCTAAAGTCTCAAATTCAGCCTACAAGTACGCATGGTATTCGTACGAGCATGTGAAGTTTTGGCAGGAAAATTACTAACTTGGGAACCAGAAAAGCTAGAAGGCTGAAATTCTGTAGGAATATTCCCCGTCTAAGTACATCTCAAATATTTTAAGTTCAGTCCCCAGCTATGCATGGTTCTTACGTATGAGCAAGTGAAAGATTTGGCGGGAGAATTGTTAACTCGGCAACCAGCAAAGCTGGAAGGCTGAAATTTTAGGGGAATTTTCACTGTCCAAGTAGAATTCAAATATTTCGAATTCAGATCCTAGCTGTGGGTTGTACTCACGTAAGGGCGTATGAAATTTCCTGTGAGAAAATTACTAATTCGGGAACCAGAAAAGCTAGAAAGCTGAAATCTTAGGGGAATTTTCCCCTTTCAAGTAAAACTTAAATATTTCATGTTAACCGTGAGGTATGCGTAGCTGTTAGGTACGAGCACTTAAAAGTTTTTGGCGGAAAAATTTCTTACTACATGGCTAGGTTACTTTTAAAAAACGACCGCTAAATGAAAATTGTACATTTACTTTATGCAAAATTTGTGGTGGTTTATGCTAGTGATCGCAAAAGACAGGTGTTAATCAATAACCATCCCTGCAGTTAATAACCTGAACTTCAATTCCGGTTCAAAAACGCATGGTCGCACGGCCTGCCCGGTGCGTTCCAGCCTGGTTTGCTCTTTTGCGCATTTTTCATTAATATTTCATTTCATTTTCTCTTTATATATGACTCGCGCCTACTTGAATCTCTATTTTGCATATTACATTGGTACTTTAATTATATACATTCCAATTCACAGCCTTTGCCCCGTGCAAATGGCGGCTTTTCCCGTTGCTTTATCGTCTGTAGCTATCACTCCTGACGTTCATTTCGTTTCCTGAGGGGATAACTTGCTCGACAGTTCTCCATGTAGAAGCATTTGGCAAGGCTTTAGAAATTTCGAAATCCTACTGATTTGTGTTGAACGTGGGCACCTCATTCCAAGCGCTGCTGCTTCTAGACTTTAACGAAATATCTTTATCGAGCAGCAAATCTTATGCATTAAAAAAATAGAACACCCTGTGCTAATTAAGCTTATTGTTAACTGCCTTTCAATGACAACTAAGCGAAGTTGATTTTACTTGTTCATTTCATATATATATATATAATAGTTGATAGTAAACATATTAGTAATAATAACTAGCCAGAAATGTTTTTTACTGTCAAACGAAGAGTTAAAGTTATGAAAGAACATTAATTTTTTGAATAAATTAGGCTTACGGGGACATAACAACAGAAGTCTACCCGGTTATCAATTTGAATTGCTCGTTGAGGCACCAGTGCAGTATTTTTCCAAAAAGATAAACATATATTTTATGATACGAAGCCAAGTATTTTACAATACAGTCTCCAAAAATTTTACTGACCTTGAACGATTCGACTCGTGACTCCACTTCAAATCGCGTTAGCTTCGTTTCCCGTTGCATGACTAGCATGGTTATGACGAGTGCGAAGAGCGTCAGAATGGAAACAACAGTGGTAGCTATTCCAATAGTGAAGAAGAAGCGATAATCGTTGTCAAGTAATATAACCTGTTAATGAATGTTTAATTAATGAATGAAGTAGCGCACCGGAGAAGTTGGCATGCATCTCTGCTGTAAGCTACTAACGAGTTCACAGTTACGCATACGCACTGCAATCGCATATGCACATAGCACACGCGTATCTGCAAAATGTACATTCTTTGCTGATAATATGATGCACCAAAACCCCCCTTCCCCAATTCACTCAACTTTCTGTAATTCCTGTGAGTGTTACTAAGTAAAGAACCGGACAGTTGCACAAAGCAGCCCTCTGAAAACTGAAGCTGAATCTGATCTGAATCCCTTTCCAAGGCGCTCATATCAGTTTCAACTTTATTCAAAAAATCATGGAAAGAAGAAGTGGTGACAGTTCAGGATGGTTGCTGAGTTGGTGAAAGCACTGTCGCACCGGTTTCATGTTTTGCATTTTCACACCTCAAATATGTGCACTTCGTACTGAATATTAGAAACAAAACCCTATCGGCTGTGGGGGAGCGCATAGAAAATAATGCCGCACAGTGATTTTGATGATGTGCTCTGGGAAATGAGAAAAGGAACGAGCGAGATGTTAAGTCAGATCAAAGAAACACTCGAAAATCAATAATGGCTTCCGGCCTTTCCCACCTATATTGCTGAGGACTAAAGTTGTAGATTTTCTTTTCTTGAATTTAACACTAAAAGGCAGCTTTTACAACTTTGAACTGAATTATACGTGTGGGCAGAAATATAGCTTTGCTACACTTCTTTTGATACATGGAAGAACGCACAAAAATTGAAAGAGCAAGTAGGCCAATGCTTGGATAAGAAAAGTGCGTTTTCCTCTTCCCTCCAAAAAATTGATGAAATTAATAAAAATTTCTACATATCCGATCTGATCAAATTTTTGCCTGTTGCCTGTTTAGTACGGTCTGTTTTTTACTATTATATCAATACCGCATCGGCTTATTATATCTTCCAATTCAGCGCTCTAACACTTGCTATTGAAAAAAAAAAAGAACAGTAATTTTCCAAAATTATCGTTCAGTGATGGTGTTTGAAAACGACAACTCACTGAAAACTTACCAGATTTTGCTATCATCAGCGGTTTTTTGCCCAACTTTTTAATATTTAGTGGGTTTTGGCGTGTTTTATGCACTGTTTATAGCGCTACAGTAAGGATCATGCAGAATGTTGATTTTTATGCGTTTTTGCTGTGCAGCGCTATAGCAGCGCTATAGCGCTGCTACAGCCAGCAA